GAATTTAAACAATAGATAAAATTCCAATTATGTGGAGACAATGCGTTGTTCTCCAGGTATCACCAGGACTCAAAACAGGCCAGGGGAACCCTTATGAGGAAAATCTAATCGGGTCTTGAAGGACAGACACAAATCAAATGCAGTCATTATATAATTATTTATCAAATACTTAATAAAGTTTAAGTGTACAAATGGATTTAAGGAGTAATTAAAAACAGACAAATGAGAACACCAAGAGGGTTTCCCTCACGAAGCTCAGCTCTTGATGTGTGTACAGTGTGCAGTTTCTTTTACAGGAGTACACTGTGAAGTGTGTATTGTACCCCAGGCATGTCCACTGTTGCCTTTCATGACCCGCAGTATCTTACAGTGATTAAAGTCATAGGAACTCAAGTACTGTAGCTGTCACTAAATGAAGTGATTGTGGACAGAATTACTTAAACTTGCGATACATGCATTTCACTGTCTGTAGTAACACCCATATGAACACAGGTTGAAAGGACTGAATCAAATTAATTTTATCAAATGATTAAGTATCAGAAGACAGTTTTCCCAACTAATGGACAATTCCTGCACAATAGATGGGAGGAAGTATCACTAATGAATCTCCTCTAATGAATCTCCTATTGGGTCAACTCTGCATTGAAACCCTGGTGGGCTCTTTGCAGCACAGCTCTTCATTCCTGAGAGTCCTGGGGAGGAGATCTGCTATCCTGCACACACCTCCTGGGAGAACAACCTCAGCTTCTGGGGTTGCCCACAGTGTGCCGGGAAGGGACTTTTGTCTTCATGGAAAGATCAGAGAAAAAATAATTAAAAAGAACTTGGGAGGCAGTTATGCTGTGTTTTAAATAACACAGCTTCTCATGCTGCAGATTCAACTACCTGCTGATGCGTTTTGCAGACCAGTGTTTCCAAAACCTGTGCAGCACAGCCACCTACAGTGGAGCCCCAAGCACAGGCCTGGCTGCAGGACGAAGGGAGGAAGGAGGTTTCTTTATGTCTAGAGGGGATTTTCCTTATACCCTCTGTCCCCAAATATGGAAGGATGATGCATGTACCATGTGTGATGTATCTGAACTTTGGTTGTTTCTACATTCTTCAGTTCTCACTAGCCTGGTTTTTATTCTGTTTGCCCACAGACTCTTCTCATTCCTTGAATGCCTCTCTAAGACAGATCCTTCTTGTCCAAAAAAATGATTTTTTCACAAAGTTCTGCATTTACCACTAGAACTTTACCACTTTGATCACAATCTTCACAGTAGTTTTATAAATCTGTATATATTTTACACATTTATTCAACATTAAATAATTTTCACGAATAACTGTCTCAGTTACTCTTCTCTCATTGCTGGGACAAATACCAATGCTCAAAATCAGGGAAGGAAAGGTTTATTTAACTCACAGTTACTCAAGGTTTCAGTCCATACTCACCTGGCTCCAAGGCAGAGTGGCACAAGGCAGAGAGCTCTGTTCATGGTGGTGGAAAAGAGCTGAGAGCCAAAAGAGAAGCAGCCCAGGAGGGTGGCTGGCCTCTCTCTCTCCTCACCTGTAATGCAGAGTGTGTGCCGCAGGGCACTCACACCCATGACCCCAGCATTGGATCGAGAATCAGTCACAAACTCCTGAAGCAGCCCCATGACTACATGAGGTTTGGGTGGACAGCTAGACACAAGCCATAACAATAACTGTATTAAAACTATTCTTGGTTTAACTGATAGTATTTGTGAAATGATATGCTAGATGTGCTGCTAATGTTTTTTTCTAGGATAAATTAAAGTGTAATTGCATGTATGACAAATGAAAAGCTTCATTCTGTATAGCTTGATGTGACCTCCTACCTTAATCATGATTTACCAAAACTGACCAGCCCATGGCCCTCATTTAATTTGATGAAATAATTTGGACACAGGCATGAAGTAACATTCTGAAAGCATGACTTATACCAATAATAACCAAAAGTAGAGTCAGGTCTTCAGATTCCTTAACAACTGTTTTTTCCACAATGAGCACAAAGCAAGAGTCAGAGTTTAAGGGAAGTAATTTAGTCAAGTAAATTAAATTAAACCTATTACTTAATTAAAGGTGTTATTTTAGGCAAATCAGAAGATATAAGCACTCAAATAAAAATAAAAGTTCTATAACTCTTGAATGGTTAGAAATTGCACTAATATTTAAAATTTGGAGGTTATACACATAGAGATATATTTTTCTATGTAATGCAGTCATAACATATCCAGTATTTAGTACATGACTGGTGCTTCTCACTGTATATTTAGCTAATTCGAAGTCTCTAAATTAGGTAACTAATTGAAAGAATATTTTTCAATGATTTCCTGGTTTACACAAATTTTTCAGATTAATCACCTTTTATGTTGTTTCCAAATATTATAGGCAATGCTTAGCTTTGTTATACTGTTATTGATACTGCTGTTGTTGAAACAGGGTCTTATGTTGTGGTTCCAGCAGGCACTTAGGGCCAGGGTAGAATAAGTGCTTGCCTGACAAGCATGGGGTCCTGAGTTCAGTCCCTGGTACTGCAAAAAAACAACAATGAAAATTTTAAAAAAGGCATTTAGCTCTTGGTGCTGCCCAGGATGGCCTTGAATTTTCAGTCATCCTCCTACCTCAGTCTCTTGACTGCTGAGATTACAGGTGAGTGCTTTATGCACTTTGTTAATTTCTAGTCTCATTGGAAATACAGTTCCTAAAATAAGAGATAACACGTGACACTGAAATTCTACTTTCCATGAGGATCTTTTTCAGCAATATGTAATTTTAACACTGGCACACTGATGATGCTGATTTTTCAATATCTTGTCAATAGTGGACATTATTATTTAAATTATTTTGGGTTTTAGGAGAAAGTTTTCTCAGTATTTTCATTTTTAAAAAAATCACGTCAGGTTTTAAAAATTAAGTAAGAAAAGTAAGAACACAAGAGCTTCCAGTACACAGAATCAGTACCCTTTCTCATCAGAAAAAGCTGAAATGCTCTGTTCCGGTCCAAGGTATAGTGAACAAGCTGGATCTTGAGGGGACAGTACATCTGTAACAGTTCCTCCCTGGATGGACACCTCTGAGACATGGTGCAGGTGTCAATGTCACAGCCTTGTGTTACTGCCCACTCACTGAGGCATGTGGGAATAAGAAAGCCTCACTTGGCCATCAGCCTTGTCCCCTCTTCGTCCTGCGTTGTGTTAGTGTGTAGAAATTTTTATGATGAGCATGCCACTCACTGGCCCTTCTGATAAATCTGCCAGACAGAGGCTGGGACTAAATACATTTAATTTGTCTCAAAAAGCACTTAATTAAAGTTATGAGAAGCCCTAGAGCCCAGACAGCTAGGATAGAGAGTATCTCTTACTATGACTCCCACAGCAGCAGTAGACCAACATGCTGAGCTTTGATTTAATTGTCCAAAAGAAATAAAAGAGAGACTTTCCATTCCCAGAAATGAACATACAAGATGAAGGAGACTTTAATCTTATTTTACACTTAGTATTAAGCTTTATTTATGTTATCATTGCATGACTTTGGTTAAATTATATTCAAGTGAGTATCGGAATCATCCATGGACCTGTGGTGGCTGGCCACCTTGTTCCACCCATTGAATGGACCTGTGGTGGTGCTGGCTGTGAGAGGCCCACCTAAGGACTCTTACCAACAATGTAAGAGAAAGAACTACCAAAGCTGCAGGAGGCTGTTATGGAAGCTGTTTGGGAGCCGCTGCAAGCTGCTGGCTTTCTTGGAGGACCTTGTCATGCTGGCTTCCCTGATGAAAGTGGCTCTCTTGACAGAGGAGGAGCTCAGCACCTCATTGTCACTGAGGATGGCGAGCATGCACTTTGGGGTAGCTCTGGTCCTCACCTTGAGCATCACTTCCCAACTCAAGGGAAGATGGCGCACAGGTCAGTCTGCTGCAGAAACTCGTCCTTGGCTTTCCTGGTGGGCTCTCAGCCTTCCTCATCCTCAGAGGAGCTCGGGACCTCTATGCTGCTGAGGATGGTTGTGGTCCCTTTGGGCAGTGCTCTGGATCTTACCTTGAATGTTGCTTCCTGGCTCCAGCGCAGACCCCTCAGCCTGCCAGCGCAGATCCTTCATCCTGCTGGCAAAGACTTCCTAGCTTCCACCCCTGACCTTTGGACCTTCCCAGCACAGAGCCATGAAGCCAGCCTGCAGGAGACATCATCATGGGCTCTAGGCCTCCTGCTGGTCTTGTAGGAAGTGTCGTTATGGGCTCTAGGTTTTCAGCTGGACTCATACAGGATATTAGGATCCAGGAGCTCAGCTGGAGTCTTTGGTCTTTAGAGTGTGAACAGATTTCCTGCATTCTTTGAATATAATTCTTTGGGTGGTTCTTTATAAAATAATCTCATAAAATATGTGTCTTGTATTGTATTATTTCCCTTGCATAACCCACAACCATGACGGTACCAAATGAACATTTCTAATGTAGATATGAGAAACGTAGATCTTTCTATCAATCAGAGTAAATATTGTACATATTTCTGTATTGCCAATTCATGTAAAATAGATGAAGTTATACACATTTTACAGATACAATTTACAGATACATGGCGATTGATTTGGAACAAGTGTTTCTTAAAGTTTTAATTTAATTAAAGTGTTCTGGTTTCTATTTAAACAGTTCACAAAATAAATCTCCACCTTATGAGTATTGTTTTCAGATCTATTGTAAGTCCACAAGAGGGCAGTAACTACTCAGGAACTCTAAAGACATGTTCTAGTGTGACTGTGGCTGTGTGTGTGTGTGTGTGAGAGAGAGAGAGAGAGAGAGAGAGAGAGAGAGAGAGAGAGAGATGAAGGGAGGTGACTGGTGGTTAGCAGGAGCACTAAGAAGAACCTCTGTTTTGTAACTGAAAAAACATTCCTTTATTGATTTTTATGTTTCTTACATCAGAAGAATTAGAAGGGTCTGAAGAATTCTCCCATTTTTAGGGTTTAAATCTGAATCCTCAGTGAACAAGGTGGAGAGAAGAACGATGGAATCCTTTAGTGTTTCCTTACTGATCCTGTGGCTTCAGCTCATTTGTGAGTTTGGGCATTTGTAGGGGAATATAACATTCCAGTATGTGGACTTGTCTCTTCCTAGGACTGTGGGAACAACATCAACAATTTTTACCTCTATATAAGGAAGGGCGGGAGGCTCATTAATATAAAACTTTTTCTTTGTCTTTTTGAGACAGGATCTCCCTGTGCAGTTCAGGCTGGCCTTGAGCTCATTTTATGGCCCAGGCTGGTATCAAACTCACAACAATCATCCCGTGTCAGCCTCCAAGTGCTGAGATTATAGGCATGCACCACAACACCCAGATATAACATTCACTTTGGAGAATGAACATCCACTACTCAATCAGTTTGCTCTGTCTGACCATTGTCTTTTTCCCCAGGGGTGAATGGCCAGCAGAAGGAGGTGGGGCAGAGTCCTGAGTCCCTCCGTGTTCCAGAGGGAGCCACCGCCTCTCTGAACTGCACTTACAGGGACAGCACTTCTACGTATTTCTGCTGGTACCGACAGTGTCCTGGGAGAGGCCCCGAGCTGCTGATGTCCATATACTCCAACGGTGACAAAGAAGAAGGAAGATTCACAGCCCAGCTCAACACAGCCAGCCGACACCTGTCCCTGCACATCACAGACACCCAGCACAGCGACTCAGCCACCTACCTCTGTGCAGTGAGCACACAGTGCTTCCTTGGCACCTGCAGCTGCACCCAAACCACAGGGGCCCAGACAGAGCTGAGGCAGAACAGAGAGCACAGGGCAGCGCAGTTCTGCTCCTGCTCCTGATGCAGTGGGAATGAAGATCAAAAGTAGGGAAGTCTCTGCACTAATTAGGTATTTTATAATTCCATAAATAGTGACCATGAAGGGAAAGATATCGTATTAGTCTGGTGGAAATATTTTCCTATTATCTGTTGACACTCTAATTAAAAATTTATGGCATGTACAAAACAGTGCACATGTTTAAATATACATCTTTATGTGGTTCCACATGTGAACCTGAAACTGTCACTATAAATCACACCATAAACATATCCAGCACTTCTAGTGATTTTCTTTCTCCCTTCTGTTTAAAACTGAATTATGATTTCAAAAACTTTTGAAAAATTGAATTGAGGGGTTGGGGAGATAGTGCAGTTGAATAAGTGCTTGCCTGGCAAGCACAAAGGCCTGAGTTCAATCCCGGATTCTGAAAAAAAAATTGATTAATTGATAAACAAAGGTGCACATAGTGCATACAGCTTGAAATCCACTCTTGTATAAATCATAAATTTATAAATGGGTTAGTTTTGTAATGATTTTCATAAATGAAGGAAATATAACAGTACAGTAACAGATATTCCTCCACACTTACTGATACCCTTAGATCTTTCCATTTACTTTTTCAGGATGCCTGATGCGCCACATTCAGAAGACATTGGCAAGACAGAAACACAAAGGTAAGACAAGAGCTACAGGGGCCTGGGCAGAGCTGAAAAGGTTTTAGATCCACTTCTCTTAGCTATAGAGCTCCTCCTCCTCTCCACCTTCAGCTGCAACCCCACTCCTGACCAGATGAGGACTGCAGGGCTGTGCAGGAGGAAGGACTAGAGACCAGGGTGAGAACTGGTAAACAACAAACAACTTAAATGTTGGCAGAGACCAAAGGTCTCAAGTGATAGCTGGCCAAATAGCTCAGCGGATTAAAGCCCCTGCTTAGGCAGATGCAGCTGCTGGTTTTGATCCCAGGCGTGCTGTGCCAGCCCCATGCCCAGAGCGCACTGAGATGGATGTTGAGATTGGGCATGGAGCCGAGGAGATGGCTCAGTGGAGTAAGCGTTTCCCTGGCAAGCACAAGTTCCTGAGTTCAATCCCTGGTTCCGCAAAGAAAAAAAAAAATAAAAATAAAAAGATTGGGCATGGTGGCACATGCCTGTAATCCCAGCTCTTTAGGAGGCTGAACACAGGTGGATCACTACGAGTCCAGTCTATGTAGAGAGACCCTTTACACCCTTACTAAAACA